CCCCCGCGCCGGCCGCGGCTGGGCGGCAGCGTTTGGCCACTGCACGGCTGTGCCTGTCTTAGGTTGTTCCTCCCGTGAGGAATCTTACCCGTCTCTGGCTAGCCAGCCATCGTCGAGGGCCAAACGCGGGCGCAAGGGAGGGGGGCAGCTCCGTCGGGGGGAGGCCGGGGGCAACAACGCGATGCCCCGTGCCGTGTCCTGCAGCCCCCGAAAGCCCGTGGAAGGGTGGAGCGGTGTCGAAAGCCCCATCTGCGCGGCAGAGGGGTGGGAGCGGCAGGCAGGGAGCGGGACGCTCCGGAGAAGAGGCTGTGTACCCCAAGGGAGGAGAAGGAGGAGGAGGAGGGGAGCAGCGAGGACGGGGAGGAAGGAGCAGGAAGAAAGCAGGGTCTCCGAGCAGCTGAAACAGATCTGCCGTCCTCCGGTAAACGGGCGATGGCCCGTCCCGGCGTCGCACCACGACCAGGGGCTGTGTGGGAGCCTGGGGAGGGGGACGGGGGTGTCCGGGCACCGGCGAGCAGAAGGCACGGGGTGTATGTGTGGGGAGGGGGCGGCCTCTCTTCGTCCTGCCGTGCTGCCCCCCGCGGAGCAGGGGCGGCCCACGGGCCCCTAGGGCCGCCCCAAGGCTAACACTGACCTGATGTAGGTAGACTGGTCCCGGAAAGCGTCGCAGAGCGGGTTTCCATCGAGCCAAAGCTCCTCCAGTTTGAGCCCCTTCACCTTGTCCAGCTCCCGATCCGATTTCAGCTGCGGGGGGGACGGGACAGAGGGAGAGGGGGTGAGGGGCCAGGGAGGAGAGGAGGGACACGTGGAAGCCGGGGGAGGGTCCAGGGTGGCACCCACCTCGTTGCGAGAGAGGTCGAGGATCTTGAGGCCGGCGGCTTTCTGCGCCAGCTCGGACAGGTCGTCCAGGCGGTAGAGCTTGTTGCTGCTCAGGTTTAGGGACTGCAGCTGCGGGCAGAAAGGGGGATTAGGGGGGATACGGAGATGGGGGGTAGAAAGGGATGGAGATGGGGGTTAGGGGGGTCCAGCTGGTGCCGCCGGAGCAGGGAGAAGCGTCCCGCCCTCACCTCGGGGATGTTGTCCTCGATGATGCGCAGCACGACCAGCATGCAGCTCCGCTGGTTCAGCACCACGTCGATGCTCTGCGACACCAAATCTAGGGGTGGGGGGGGCAGGAACGGGGGGTGAGGCGGTGCCCGCCGAAGCCCCCTCCCCTCCCTCCTGTCCCCGGGGTGGCGAGCAGCGCTTACCCGGGTCGACGCGGAGGCTTTTGAGGTCCAACGCCCGCTGCGAACCATCGTATCTCTTGCTCATGCAGAGCTGGGACAACGCAATGAGGATGAGGGTGAGCGGGCTCTGCCTCTTCTCCTCTGCCCAGAGCCCGCACCCGGCCGCCCCGCTCACCTTCAGTTGCTCAATCTCCTCCGGTTTCAGCTCGTTTTGCAGGGACTGAGGCGGAGCTGACGAGTTGATAATTATCACCACCTACAGAGGAAAAAAAAAAGCGGAGCAGACCGTGAGGCAGCGCACGCCAGCAGCGAACGCGCCCACGCAGAGCAGGGAGGAACGGCCGTGCCGGGAGATCGATCGCTCGCTCCCACAGGGAGCAGCTCCCGGCCCATCCGCCCCGGCAGCCTGGGAGAAGCCGCAGACCTTGTAGTTGTCCCTGTCGGTGATTTTACGGGAGACCTGCTTAAGGGCGCTGGCGGTGGTGGCGTCCTCCACGTAGAACTGGGCTCGGTTGTGGTCGTAGTGGAACTGAAAAAGGGGACGGGTTGGGGTCCGGGCAGCAGCTCCCGCGGAGCCGGAGCGTGGCCGCTCTCCTGGGGGGTGCGTGCCCCCCGCCCCGGCCCGCCAGACCGCCCCTATCTCCCCAAAACGGGAAGGGAAGCAAAACCCGGGCACTTGGGCCCTGCTCACCTCGACGGGAGTGAAGGGAACGCTGCAAAGGTTCTGGATGGAGCTCAGCAACCATGACTTGTCGTATTTTTTCCCATAGGGGATCTAAAAGACAATTTGCCCGGCGTCAGGGCGCAGGCAGGGCGCAGGCAGGGCTGGCAGCGGCACACGGTGCTTGACCGCTCGTGGAGGAACTGCCGCAGCCCCTGTCCAGGCCACGTGTGCTGCAGCTGGGCAGGACGCAGCTGCCTTCTGCCTACGCCCAGGAAAAGAAGAGAAAGAGAAGAGAGAGGAGAGAGGAGAGAAAAAAAAGACAGCAGACAAGAAAAAGAGAGACAAGAAAAAGAGAGACAAGAAAAAGAGAGACAACAAAAAGAGAGACAAGAAAAAGAGAGACAAGAAAAAGAGAGACAAGAAAAAGAGAGACAAGAAAAAGAGAGACAAGAAAAAGAGAGACAAGAAAAAGAGAGACAAGAAAAAGAGAGACAAGAAAAAGAGAGACAAGAAAAAGAGAGACAAGAAAAAAGGAGACAAGAAAAAGAGAGACAAGAAAAAGAGAGACAAGAAAAAGAGAGACAAGAAAAAGAGAGACAAGAAAAAGAGAGACAAGAAAAAGACAAGAGAAAACCAAAACCAGCACAAGATGGAAAGGAAAGAAAAAGAAAGGGGGAAGAGGGAAGGGAAAGGGGGAAGAGGGAAGGGACAGAACAGAACACGCTATTTCAGTTGGAGAGGGCCCACAACGATCACCTCGCCCTTCAGGGCTGACCAAACGCTAAAGCGCGCCGTTAAGGGCATCGTCCCGACGCCTCTGGACGCCGGCCAGGCGCACGGCATCGACCGCCTCTCCAGGCGGCCCGTTCCAGCGTCTGACCGCGCTCTCGGTAAAGAAACGCTCCCCGATATCAAACCCGAACCTCCCCCGGCGCAGCTTCGAGCCATTCCCACGCGTCCCGTCCCTGGATCCCAGGGAGAAGAGCTCGGCTCTCCGCGTCCCCACCTCGGGAAGCTGCCGAGAGCGACGCGGTCGCCCCTCAGCCTCCTTCTCTCCAAACTCCTCAGCCGCAGGACGTTCCTCCCAGCCCTTCGCCACCTTTGTTCCCCCTCCTCTGCATTCAAGTTCACTTTCAAACACCTTCACATCCTTTTTAAAACCGGGGAGCCCGCAGCACTCGAGCTGAGGCCGCACCAACGCTGAACGCAGCGGGACAAACCCCCCCCCCTCGTCCGGCTGCGTTTGATGCGCCCCGGGACGCGGCACCCCCAGCTCCCCGTCTGCAGGGCGGCTCTCCAGCCACTCCTCTCCCAATTTATCCTCGTGCTTGGCATTACTCCGTCCCGGGTGCAGAATTCGGCATTTTGACTTGTTAAATTTCATCCCATTAATCGTAAAATCATTTAGTTTGGAAAAGACCTTTAAGATCATCGAGTTCAACCGTTAACACAGCCAAGCCGAGCACTAAAATCTGTCCCTCAGCTCCACATCTCCGCATCTTCTACGTTTTTCCCGGGATGGGGACTCCACCGCTTCCCCGGGCAAGCCCGTTCCAGTGCTTGGCGACCCTTTGGGTGCAGAAATTGTTCTTAATATCCGATCTAAACCTTCCCTGGCGCAACTTGAGGCCGTTTCCTCTCATCCCATCGCTTGGGAAAAAAGGCTGACCCCCGCCTGGCTCCAACCTCCTTCGGGCCGCTGCAGAGAACGATGAGCTTTCCCCTCAACCTCCTTTTTTCAAGGCTGAACGCCCCCAGTTCCCTCAGCCACTCGTCGTTAAGACGGCGCCAGG